GCCTACAACAGCTACATTTTGCATTCGTCAGCTTCCTTCGACGCACGCCAGACCCAACATGACGCACGTTTAGTCTCAGCCGAGGTGCGCCGTGCGCAAGCCGCTTTAGACTACTCAGCGGAGCCACGCAGAATTTTTCAAGAACTTGCTTCACGCGAAACCGCAAGAATGTGTTGTAGTGTCACTTGTCTGCACCTACCAACGACATACCGAAGTAGGAAAGATGTTGTACTCGATGCCAAGTCACGCATTCTTCAGTTCAAACTCGAGACAGTCAGAGAACAGTACATTGGGGTTGCCGCATATCACCAGTACTTTCAAAGTCACTCACCAGGGCCACGCGAACCCAGTTGCCGAAAGGTTTTTGTTCGGTATGACTGCTGTTGTTCAACCTGTCCAAGGAAACAAACGTTGGACCGTACTTGTTGCGATTTGACGTTGGATCCCTTTGCTACATGGGGCCATTTGTATTCTGGAACTCGCAGGTACGTAAGTAAGTCTGAGGAGTTGGTTATTGTAAGATGCAATATGTAGGTTGTTGTGGGAACGCCGAGGCGCATACGTTGCGCCCTTCGCTGCCTCAGCGTGGACAGTCCCACCTTCAAGAACATTTCATCATGCACGCTTTCGCCCCATTCATTGACATAGAATACAGCCAACTTTGCCCTGCCCTGCATCATCATTGCCGTCGTTTGTGTGCTTTTCACCTTCTGTGTCATTCGGGCTTCAATGGGCGGGGGAGCCTTGAGTTGCCTCCATAAACCACGCACCATAGACGCATAGTGTGAAGGGACCAAAGCGTTTTGTTGCAAACATAGACCAAACAGACGTCAAGACTACTTTCACATGTAACATTCATTGTGATCAACTCGCGTTTTCTGTCGTTTTGGGTCGTTTTGGGTCGGGTTCTACCCTTGGGCGTCAGTAGCTATGTCATACGTACAATGTCTTCCATCTGTTGAGCTCGAGTTGCGTTCGTTCAAACCAATCAGTAGTTTTGTCGAATACCAGGTAGACCACACTATTTGGGATCCTTGCACTCTCAGCTTTATTCTGCACCCCCTTCGATCAGAGTTAGAGTTGGAAATCGGGTTCCAATTCGTCTTTCTTGCTCACGTAGGTTTCCTTGAATTGTCCTTTTCTTCTCGAAGTCGTACATTGCGTTAATGCAGACATGAGCATCGTTGAGCAAAAAAGCGGGTAAGCACGTGGTCGCTAGCCTTTCCGATGGGTTTGCGGTACTGTTCGGCGTAGATATTATAGGGTATCCTATGGATTGACTCGGAAGTTCGACCTTTGAGGATTGACGCCAACACAGAGTGACAGTTGAGGGTTTTGACGGGAAAACATTCGCACCGCGCGTGTCCGTTGGCACGTGGGAGAGAAACAAAAGATGGTGGCGTAGAGTTGACGCCGGTCATGTTCACGACCCCGGGTTGGTTCGGGCTGCCACCCAGGGTCGACATGCTAAAGCGAAGACTCACACTCCCGGCTCCCAGGAGACTGGGTGTACCCCTCCGCCTCATCCCGCCGACTTTCCCTACTTTGCCGCGGCGACTTCCCAGGCGTCAAACTGCTGTTTCTTTTGAGGCAGCTGCTCGCTGCACTGCTGTGTACCGAAGTCACTGCGGCAGCAGAGCACCGAATCCCGTGAGGGGGCGGGCGAGATGCACTTACTGACCGGCCAAGTCCGTGTACCCTCCCTTGCTCCTCTGTCTTTCCTCCCTTCGAAAGCGGGACTCCCCCGATGACTGCCTAAGCCCCTTTTTGCTGCTGAAAGCCCGTGCGCGATCCCGACGGCGCACCTACCGAACGCGCGCGCCGAATACGCGAGTCCGGCCACATGGCCGCCGTGAGAACTTGCCGAGACGTGTGTGTGCAGGACCGCTAGGAGCAATCGGTAGGCATGGTCAATGTGTTCGCTGGTGACGGCGCTCCTTTCGTGATTTGGCGGCGGTAACAGAACACAGAGCAAGCGTGTGTGTGCCAGTCTGTCGATATTTAAGGTGTCAATCTTTTCGTTCCGCCTTAAGTTTGACGCTTCCTCGCCGTCAGAGTTTGCCTCTAAAAAAGCGGCGCAACCTCGCCACGTCAAAGCTTCCTGACATGTCAATCTTTCACGTCATTTCAACAACACGTGGATTCCCTCAATTTCAGTGATTCTTCGCGGTGTTGTTTAGTTTCCTTCTGCATGTGTTTTTCGGATCCTGCAGCCTCCGAGCCCCGTGCATTCTCATCACACATTACGCTGTACCTCGCCTTTGCACTCTCACCCGCGCACGTGAACCATTTCTCATCAGCTTTCCAATTTGGAAGCCCTTATTTTTATCTCCCTTTTCACCGTCCCCCCCCGGTGTTTGGTCAAGCACCCTCGAGGTAGTTTCACAGTGCTTACAACTGTCTCTGGAAGTGAAAGCACCAGAAAATGATTTTAAGTCATACGCAGCGGTCATCCGTATGCAAGGAAGTGAAGCAGAAGATGCCCAATACCCTTTGCAGGATGCAGCGCACCCTTCATGCGACTCGCCGAATATCTCACGTCGCTTCGCGCTTGGTGATGTCAGAGCCTGGTCCGGTGAGAACCCGTCGTGCTCCGTCCCGGCTTTGGAGGGATGCGAGGTCAATGGTCTAACGACACGGCATGCACGACTATGAGTAC